CTGCTGATATAGAAAAAATAACAATGTTGATGTTTGTTTTATTTTTCCAATTAATTTTGCTCCTAAAGTCATTAAATACCAAAAGCTGGTTGATATAATGCATCTGAATTTGTGACTCCACAAAACAGAAAGACTTTTCATGGTTACAGATAGAAATATTCTTATTTATTACAGACCTTATAGTCTTTTTCTCTTCATCTCTTATTTGTGCTTTTCTCTTTTAAGACAAATATTATTTCTTAGCTTTAAATAAATGACCATTCTTGCTACTGTTCTTTTTTATGATCAGTAAAATAAGTCTTAATTTATCAAGCAGAATTTCTCAACCTATTTTATTCTAATCAGTTTAGACATATTAAACATTTTTAGAGTCTCATTTACGATGATATAAGGTTTTGACAGACCTTACCTTTGCTCTGGTAGTCCAGGATAATTAGTTAAACTTTCAGGATGAACTTTAAACATGTCACTCTCACAGAGACACAGCTGGGTGAAGGAGACACTGCTGTGGTTTCATCTGCCTTCCTGAAAAACTGTTTCTCCCAGAATAAAATCCACCTGAAAGAGAAACAGAAACACTCAGATGTGGTTCAGTCCCAGTGTTCCCAGTTAGCTGCTCTCTAACCTGTCCTGTAGATCAGGAAGCTGATCCTATATAAACTTGATTCTTTATAACCATTAGCAGCTGGTTTAAGTTAAAAACCTTAAATAAAACTGACATTTTAAAACAAACTTTATTCTAAAGGAAAACGAAATGATTCGTAATGAAACTGAGTCCTTATAGATGGTGATGGCTGAGAGCAGGAAGGATCTCCTGATGAGGTCTGCATTACAACGTATCTGCAGAAGCTCCTGACTGATTAAACTCTGTAATTGTTTTACAGCCACGTTAGGATTGTCTTTGTCTGTAGAGATGAAATAAACAGATACTGTGGAAGCAGAGCGGGACTGAAGAGGAAATGGTAAATGGCATGTACTTATATAGCGCTTTTTTCAAGTTAGGAGACTTGACCAAAGCGCTTTACACTACATTAATTCACCCATTCACACACACTGATGGTGGCAAGCTACATTGTAGCCACAGCTGCCCTGGGGCTCACTGACAGAAGCGGGGCTGCCGTACACTGGCGCCACCGGGCCCTCTGACCACCATCAGTAGATGATGCAGGTGAAGTGTCTTGCCCAAGGACACAACGACACTGAAAGTCGGAGTCGGGGCTTGAACCGTCAACCCTTTGATTTCAGGGCAAACTCCTACATCCAACGCCACATTCGCCTATTAAAAGGAAAGAGAGAAGGAGGAAGTTGAACCATCTCCTCCATCAGTTATACTGGGAAAAGTGAGATCTGTGGCAAACAAGATGGTTAAACTTTAAATGCTGACAAAAACAATGACTCATTGCCAGGGATGAACCCAGTAAGAATTTCTGGTTTAAAATACATTTTAGCCAGACGGGAACTTCTCTCCATTTTTCCATTTGTAAATCACAAAAGAAGGACTCACCAAGACACAATTACATCCCTACTACTCAGATCTGTACTTAAAGATGTCATCAGAAGATAAGAATTATATTAGACGGCGTGCAGATGGCGCATCAGTTAACGCGCATGACCCACGTATGGAGGCTAGTCACCGACCTGGATTTGAATCCGGCCTGTGGCCCTTTGCCGCATGGCCCTTCCCCTCTGTCATACCCCCTTTCGTCAGCCTACTGTCGAAAAAACTATCCACTAGTGCTGCAAAAGCATAAAAAAATAAATATATATATATATATATATATATATATATATATATATATATATATATATATATTATAGATACCTATAAATATTTACAAATTCTATCTAACTGAACTTACATTTTAACAATTTATACAATTAGTAGTTCATATCTGTAATTACATTTCTGCAAATTGAAATATAACTTTTATGCCAAGAATCTTCATTCCGGATAGTTATATTTTTTAATACATTTTTGATAAATGAAATGATTATTCCGACCAGTACTGGATAATGGAGATCTTTAAAGTGTATTATTCACCTTCTAGGTGAACAATGCTGGCCAGGATCTTGTAGCCACCAATGATCATTTTCATGCTGGTGATATCGTCATCTAAAGCTTTGCATAAATTCTTAGTGCCAGTGTCTCTAAATTACAGAATGTTTTTAACATAATTGAGAGGATTTTCTACAATCTGAAATTACTTAATGCTAGTGTAACATGATATAATTCTCAAGAGCAATCTGCAGAGAGTCCCCCAAAGATCACTTTTCAAGAACCAGATATTAAAAGTTTAATCTTTTAAACATCTAGGTATTTTAATTGATGACAATCTTAATATTAAAGCATATGATGATCATTTAGCTAAAAAGCTTAGACTAAAACTTGGCTTTTACTTTAGAAATTGGCAGTTTTGTTTTTCAATGCAAAAAAAAAAAACGTGTTACTGCAAAATGAATAATTCAAGTATTAAAACTACTGGACTCTGGTTATCATGCCTCCTTCAGGTTGATCACAAACTGTAAGCCTCACACTTACCAATGTGAACATTGCAGATGTGGGCTGGTCAGCCCTGAAGAACCGTAGACTCACTTATTGGTTCTTTTAAGTAATTCCCCTCTGAGATTATTAAAGTATGTCTGATTCTGATTTATAAGGGTATTCTTTATAATACCTTTATAAGTTAACTTATTCGGCCCTACTAATATCTATGTGAATATATTCAAACAAAAGCAGCTGAACTGAAATCTTTACAGGCATAACTATCGCTGCTACTCTCTGTAGCAAATGTCCACAGAGAAGCTGGTGAAGCGACATCTCAGTAATCTGCCCAACAACAACTGGAACAATCTACAAACAGCCTGGAAATCAAAAGAACTGGTCCCAATAGGCCAGTTTATACTCTCACTGGCTACGTTTACATGGACACAACTAATCGGATTGAAGGCCTGATCAGATCAAAAATGTTTCATGTAAACATGTCAGACTGAAGATTCTAATCCGATTCGGTCCGATCGGATCTAAATTTAATTCCGAATGAGCGAGGTGGTTTTTGCCGATCGCCATTCCGATTGGCGTCCACGTAAACACCCATTCGGATCTTGAGAGTAAAATAATTTTCACTGCGCATGTGTGCGACGT